ATACCAGAGTGTCAGTTTTAGGCTGCAGTCTTCTATCCACTTCTGTCTTCTCAATGAAGGGAGCCAGAGTTAAGCATGTAAGGGTTACTGGTTAATTCACATGATTTGTTCATTGAACAAATCTAAAAATTCAAATATATTTTCTGAGAATATTAGAAAAAAGAAAACCTCCAGAATTAGAAAGCCACTGGCAGAAGTCAATGTTTCACATCTTTTTTTATTTTATCATGCCACTTTATGGGAATGTTAGTATCATATTTTTATTTTTTTTAATTTGATTTATATGCCGCCCTTTTCCGGAGACTCAGGGCGGCTTACAATGCGTTAAGCAATAGCCTTCATACTTTTGTATATTTTATACAAAGTCAGCTTATTGCCCCCACAAACTGGGTCCTCATTTCACCTACCTTAGAAAGGATGGAAGGCTGAGTCAACCTTGAGCCTTGGAGAGATTCGAACCAGCAGTAATTGCAGGCAGCTGTGTTAATAACAGGGTGCTTAGACCACTGTACCATCAAGGCTCTTCAATTGTACCATCAATTGCTTTCCTTAACCTGGATCCCTTGTTGCCATTTGCAGTTGTGGAGATCAATCCTAACGTGGTGGTGATTTCTATTCTTGCCATTCTGAGCATTCTTCTGATAGGGCTCTTGCTTGTAACATTGGTGGTTCTTCGGAGAAAACATCTACAAATGGCCAGGTAGGACAACACACCTTCTAATATCAAGGTCTTCTTAAGGGATGAAAGTTCTATATGTAACACGGAAGCAGTACGAATTGTTCCACGGAGCCTAACATTTAACATGAGGATATGTAGATGGATTTTTGATGGCTTTAAGGTTTCCAGTAGATTCACCCCAGAAGTACATAATGAAGATTAGTTCATTTGCATACAGAACATAGAATAACAAGGTTGGAAGGCACCTCGGAGGTCTTCCAGTCCAGTCCCCTGCTCAAGCAGGAAACCCTATATCCGTGATGGCGAACCTATGGCACGCGTGTCACAGGTGGCACGTGGAGCCATATTAGTGGGCACGCCAGTTCAGCTCTGGGGCGCATGCGTGCGCTGGCCAACTGATTTTCAGGCCTTCTGGGTCTACCAGAAGTAGGAAAACAGGCTGTTTCCTGCCTCTGGAGGGCCTGGGGGGGTGGGGAAGGCCCGTTTTTCTTTCTTACCTGGCTCCAGATCCTCTCTATTTAACTGGGAAGGGTGAAAACAACCTTTCCCACTCCCTTGGAGGCCCTACGGAGGTTGAAAGGGCCCATTTCCTGACTCCCAGTGGGACAGGAAGTGACTTTTTTGCTGTCCCCAGCCTCCAGAGACTTCTAGAGAGGCTCCTAGAGACTCCTAGATAGTCCAACACATTTGGAGGACATCAGATTGAGGCAGATGTCTTCCAGCACGATGGTTCTCTTGCTGTCTCTCTAGCAGACTTTTTTTTTTTGCTTTAAGGCCCCTACCCCTTCCATTCCCATTCTTTATCTGAAGATTAACATCACCCTCTTGCCAGTATAAATCAAAGCTCTCTGATCCCACAGACATGTAGCAACATCAGAAGGCAGTCTTTAAACGAACAGATTGTTGGATTTGTCCTGAATAAAAATTTGATTTGCTCACCCAGTTTAGTCCAAAGTCCAACATTATGTTCAATGGAGCTTACTTTTAGCAATCATATTTAGGATTACAGTATATAACTATAACTGATTTCCATGTTGCTCCAGTAATTCCCAGACTTCAGCTGACCAGTACATTCTTATAAAGACCTATTCTCCAATCGGCTAGATATCATATTATGCACACACACATAAACTGTATATAGCAGGGGTCCCCCAAGTCCCAGGCTGCGGAGTGGTACTGGTCCCCAGCCAGTTAGGAACCAAGATGTGCAAGTGAGCAAAACTTCATCTGAGTTTGCATGGGAGCTAGGCAGCGTGCAAAACCACTGCCCCCAGTCCATGGGAAAATTGTTTCCCGCAGAACTGGTCCCTGATGCCCAAAAGATTGTGGACCACTGCATCTCTTTTGCACGCAATACTGCAGCAAATTACTTTTACATTTTGAGCTTCAAGATGTTAAATTTCCCACCTAGCCCTTCTGTTACAACATCAAGTTCAGCGCTAGTTTCACATCTGTGCATATTTTTGGTTGCTAAGGTTCCTAAACTCCATGCCGATCTTTTATCACTATCCTCACAGTTTTCAGTAAAAACCCATTAAACAGCTCATTTATGCAGTAGTGTTGCTTCTGGGAAATTTTCTGGCTTATGACAAAACTGTTTTCTAAATCAAGGTGTTGAGCAACGGCAGAGGTGGGGCAGCTGTGGGCTGTCATTTATTTCAGGACTCTAATCCTATCCTAATTTGCATTCCAAGCAGACAACAAGAACTGTTCTTGGAAACTAACAACATCTAACAGCATTAAACAGCAGGTTTAAACATCCTCATACAAAACAGCCTAGTTTACCTTGTTTAAGTTTAAAGTGATAGACTTTCTGCCAAGATATGTGATTTTTTTTTTTTAAGTCCATCAATAATAACTCTGAATCTTCCAAACTAGGGAGTGTGGAGCAGGAACATTTGTGAATTTTGCTTCATTGGAAAGAGATGGGAAACTCCCGTACAACTGGTAGGTATATATCTCAGAAGATTTGCAATATAGGTTTCCCCCCTCCTGTATTGCAATGCATAATTGTTACATTGACTCCTTTAAGCTGGATATTAATATTGAAAGTCTAGCCATTAGATCCTGGTGATCTTTCTCTTTAAAAAATTGCTTTAATATAGTAGAGTATTATTTCTTCTGACATGAGGTAAGAACATTTCAAATTACGGAATTAATCTTTGCTTGAGAAACTTTCTGTGCAACTCTAATTTCCATAACAGTTTGGGCAGTCCAATAGAGTGTAGGGACTGGGTTATCTCAAATCATTATCATCTAATTCAAAATTGCTATTAAAGGATCAGAAAGTATTATGTTTTTCCTAATTAAAACGGCATTACAATGTTTGTGGCAGTCACAGTTAGGCTGTAAGAGCTGCAGCTTCAGAACTCAAAGAAGTGGAAATCTCTTTTGTTTATGGGAGTACATGTAGAATGTAGTCTCCTTATTTATGGGTGCTTCTAAAAGAAAATGGGCACCATGAACCTGAAAAATGGCTTTTAAAGGTCAAGAAAAATTGCAGGAAGATTGCACCTGTGCTGACTGAGAGGAAATGCCTTTTATTTGGCCAGATTTTCGAAGCACAATGTAAAGAGCAAGGCTAACTATTGTGGTAATAGTGCTTTAAAATATATCAGTAAGCTTTAATTTTTAATGTGTTTTCTACATGTACTTTTTTTCTTTGTCTTGGTGTGGTTTTTCATTCTTTTTCCCAGAAGCTGAAAACAGAATACAGTGAACCCTTTTATAAGAGGGAGAGAGAGAGAGAGAAAGAAAGAGAGAGGGAGGGAGGGAGGGAGGGAGAGAGGGAGATCCTCAAAGTGATAGAGCCAATTAACTCATCCAATTAAATTATTTAATATCTTTGCGCTTCAGTTAAAAATGAGAAATTTCAAGGCCGGTGCGATGATCCACTTTATGATTGCCATAATTTATGACCTTATTTTGCAGTGGTCATTAAGTGAATGCAGCCTCATTAAGCGAAAACTGCAGTCATTAAGTAAACATCACACTTGTTCAGGGCTCCATACAATTCCTGGAAAACTTGCTTGCAGTCCTTATAGGTCTTCCAAAGGGCGTCGCCCAATTGCAATGTGTAAGGTGGAAATTACTAAACATCTGAGAAGTTATCCGTTATTATATTTAACTATATTTATTAAGGGAACTTTAAATTAAATCAATTTGGGGTTGGGAGAGACCTTGGAGGTCTTCTTAGTCCAACTGTCTGACCATTTCTGTGAGATGGGGGAGAATGGGGGACATGTAGCTCCTAGCATGCTATTCAATGACATTTGGGGCTGGCAGAATAACAGAATTGGGAGGGACCTTGGAGGTCTTCTAGTCCAACTCCTTCTCAAGCAGGAAACCCTATACAATTTCAGACAAATTCAGACTGGTTATCCAGTCTCCTCTTAAAAACCTCCAGTGTGGGAGAACCCACAACCTCCGGAGGCAAACCATTCCACTGATTAATTGTACTCACTGTCAGGAAATTTCTCTTTAATTGCAGGTTGCTTCTCTCCTTGATTACCGTATTTTTCGGAGTATAAGACTCACTGGAGTATAAGATGCACCTTAGTTTTTGGGGAGGAAAATAAGAAAAAAGCTGATTGGCAGGTGGATCAGCCTCCCGGAATACTCCCAATCAGCTGTTCCCAGAGGTTAATTTTAGCAACAGGTTCCTTGATTGTGAGTTCTTTGCCTTGCCTTTTTTTTTGCTTTGTTTTCTGCCTCTGAAATCAGAAAAAACTTTTTTTCCTGCCTCTGAAAGCCTCCGAAACAGAGCTTCAGAAAAAAGCCTCTGAAGCTCTGTTTGGGGGCTTCTTTTCTGAAGCTCTGTTTCTGATGCTTTTTTCAGCCTCTGAAACCTCCGTTTGAGAAGCTGGGCGGGGCTACATTCGGAGTATAAGACGCACCCAGATTTTCACCTTCTTTTTTGGGGGGAAAAGGTGCGTCTTATACTCCGAAAAATAGTTGCCATCCATTGTCCTTCCTTCAGGTGCTTTGGAGAATAGGTTGACCCCCCAAAGCACCTGAGCTCAGGACAAGAAGCAATGGATGGAAAGTAATCAAGGAGAGAACCAACCTAGAGCTAGGGAGAAATTTCCCTGTTTTGTGTTGCAAGAGCACCAACGAAGAATGGGAAGATTCAAGACTGTCCTCAGCTATGGAAGTTCAGGGTGATTTGGGGCAAATCATTCTTTTTCAGCCCAACTGAAATAGAAGTTTGTTGTTCTTGTAAAAAATTGGAGGAAGCCGTGCTGCATTTTGTAGAGCTTAGATTCTCACAAAGCATAGCAAATGCAGAGATATCTTAACTAAGAAAAAAGAATATCAGTGACAACTTATAGCAGTCTTTATCCATCTTGTCTCCACTCGTGCCGGTACTTTTACCTTTTTATCAAGAAGAAAATTTGAGTCCTATTTTTCAGCCTCAAGAGGGCATTGTCGGTCTTTCAAACTTACACGAATCTCATTTTCCATGATTTTCTGGACAGGATTTTGACAAATACATGCAAGTTATTAATTAAATCTGAGGATTTTGTCCTTCACAACAACCACATTTAAGCAATTCTTTTATGCTTTTGGGACCAAGCTAGAGAAATGTACCTGTAATGGGAAGAAGGAATAACCTTGAGAACAGGAAGAAGAGATGCAACCAAGACAGTGCTTAGATACAAGAAATCTTAGCCTGGGGCAGAAATGTAATTTGAGAAAGTATCTCAGACAGAACCCTCCCTAATTCTCATAAAGAAAAAAGAGAGGTGGGGGAAGCACATTCAGACTTACAAGATTCTATTACTGTCATCTTATAATAAAAGTAGTGTTAGCTTGTGTATGTTTTGTTAACAAGCTTAGTCTACATTGGACTTCTGACCTGCCTATCCTGGAATATAGGCAGTCCCCTGAATTATGACCACAATCGGGACTAGAATTTCTCTTGCTAAACAAGGTACCTGTTCAACAAATTGTGCCTAGTTTTACAACCTTTTTATTGCCATGGTTGTTAAACAAATTGCTGCGGTTGTTAAGTGAATCGCATGGTTGTTCAGTGAATCCAGCTACCTCCAATGACTGTTGTAACCAGGCTAGGAAGGCCACAAATCCTATGACTCTGGAGATGTTGCAAATATATGCTGGTTGCCAGTTACCTAAATTTTGACCATGAAACCCTGGAGATATTGCAATGGTTGTAAATGTGAGGACCGGTAATAAATCACCATCTTCAGTGCTGTTGTAATTTCAAATGGTTGTAAGTCGAGAACTACCTGTATTGTATTGCTTTTCTGCACTTGGATTCAGCTGAGAACCAATCCATTCTGGGTTGGCAGCCTTCCATCCTCACTATCACAGACATATATCTTCCCCACCCCCATTTTAATGTAAACATATTCCTATTTTTGTTGATTAATTTAATAGCCACCCTCTGGGATAGGGATGTCAGCATCTCAATAGAAATCTTCATCTCTAAATATCAAGAAAAGCAATAAAATACGGCCACTCTGCTTTTCTGTTAGGTTTCAGTCCTCAAAGCTGCCATAAAAAGAATGATTTCAAAAGCCAAGAAAAAGGAAGCTAAATTTCTCTTCAGAATCAGCACCTTCCATAGATTTGGCCACAGCCAAGAAGGTGTGTTATTGTGGCACACAGTGACATTTTTAACATAAGGCTTGCTGATCTAAGACAGGGGTGTTAAACTCAAGGCCCATGGGCCAGATCCGGCCTGCGGGATGCTTAAATCGGGCCCCCAGGACCGGCCTGGAAATATCAAAGGATCAGCCCGCTGTGCCTCTGGTGGCTATAACGGGGTGCGTAATGCCCCCACCTCCACCCACCGCACCTAGTTTTCACCCTCCATGGCCTCCTGCAGCACTCGGGTTGAAAAAGGGCCTGAAAATGGACTGAAAAATGGCTGGCAGAGTGCTGAAGGAGGCCGTGGAGGATGACAATGAGGCGCAGGGGAGGCACACGTGGACCCCCTGCACCCCATTTTGGCCGGCAGGGTGCTGCAGGAGGCATACATCCCACCCACCCCATCCCCCACCGGCCTGCAGAGAAGAACTACAATGCTGAACCAGCCCTTAAAGAAATCCAGTTTGACACCCCTGATCTAAGAGGATGGTCAGGCACATTTTAGAAAAGGGTAGTGTTTCTCCACTTGGGACACTTCAAGATGTGTGGCCTGATGTGTGGACTTCAACTCCCAGAATCCCCCAGCCAAGAAATATTGCCTGAAGAAGGGATGGGCAACACATTTATTTTATTTTTTTTACAATATCCAGAGTGTCTTTCTTTGGACAATCTCACCTCAAGGGGTAAAATATTCCAAAATATCTTAACCCCTGAGGTGAGATTGGCTCCCACCCTTCTGACTTTCTATAAGAGCCTTAAGACCTGATTCTGTCAGATGGTTGGGGGGGGTCCCAATTGGGGAGAATATCACACTGGAGGTGGTTGATTAATTAAGAAACACTCCCCCCCTCCCTTCTTCTCCATCTTGTAACCATGATTTCACTTTGATAGTACTTTCATTTTATTGGGTTAGGAATATTTATGACGGATGATTTTAAATGTTTTATGCTGTAAAATTCCCAGAGTCACTTTGAAACGAGATGGGCGTTTCAAGGAATGTAATAAAATAAATAAATAAACCCAGTTGTTAAAAACTGAGGGAGGAACTTGAAAGAGAAAATTCTGAAAATTGTTAACAAAACTAACATGAGAACATCATTTAAAAGAAACAAAAATAAAATTTAAGAAACAGGAAAATAAATCCTGTCTGTTCACATAACCTCTACTCGTTTTGCATCACAATTCTGTCCAATGTGGCCCCTGGAAAGCCAAGCCAAGCCAAGCCCCCATCCCATTAAAAAAATTATCCATACCACCTAAAGCCCGGCAGTCAGCTAGAGATTTGGATATGGGCAGCATGGAAAATGAGAAGATGCTGCAAAGAGAAGTAATGAAAGAGGAAACCATGCATGCTTTATATCTCATTCCATGTTTTGTTCTGATTTTGTCTATTACTGGCATTTGCTCCCAGCCTCTCTGTAGAAATATGGCTTCAGCAGAAAAAGTTTTCACATAACGTCTGCAGGCAAACATCTCATTTCTTTAGCTTGTCTCTGCATTATGTCTTATTTCAAAAGAGGGCAGACCCATTCCTGTAGGCAGATACATTTATCAGAGAGAAAGAAAAAAAAAGGAAAGTTATTCTGTTTGGAAGAAAAATTCCATCAGGCATTGCCTCTATACTCAGGGGTGACCATTTAATGGCTAGATTAAAGACCGGATAAATTTGAAAGTCATTCTTTGGATTTTATGGGGTGCAATCAGCTGGCACAAATGGCTAAATTGATTTGATATGGCATTGAAGCTGATCCTCCGGTAATGAACTTCCAAACTGAATGTCGGCTACCAGTTTTCCCTGTAAATATTGACGTAGCTAATTAACTAATCAACCTTCACTTCCTCCTTGAGCCCCCAGAAGTAAAAAATTGTTCACAGATATCATTAACATCTTTTGGGCTGCTTTGAAAAAGCGGGTTTTAATCTGCATCAAAGTCAGGAGTTCAAACGTAATCCTAATTAAAGACTCAGACATGAAAAATCTAAAGAAGAACTAAAAACCCAACAGCCCAGTGCTACAATATACAGTAAACTTCATATATACAATTCAAATGAGGAGAAATGTAATTGGGGTGTCAGAGTGAGAGAAGAGATACAGGTACTCCTTGGCTTACTAGTGGTCACTTAACAACCATTCGACCATTGCAATGGATCTCCTAGGGGTACTTATGATCCAGTTTTGAAGTTCTGAAGTATTTCCCCCCACACACACACACACAATCCCTGTGGCCATTTTACCACATGTCAGGTGCTCAGCAATCAGGTCACATGAGGGAGGGAAGGGAGAGAGAGAGAGTGAAAGAGAGAGAGAGAATAGATAAATCCTTAGTAAAACCAAAGAAGAGCAACTAAGATTATTAAAGACCTGGAGACAAAAACATATTAAGAACGGTTGAAGGAATTGGGTAATGACTAGTCTAGAGAAAAAAAAGAATGAGGGGTGACATGATAGAAGTATTCCAGTATTTGAGGGGCTGCCACAAAGAAGAGGGGTTCAGTCTATTTTCCAAAGCACCAGAAGGCAAGATAAGAAACAATGGATGGAAACTAATCAAGGAGAGAAGCAACCTAGAACTAAGGAGAAACTTCCAAACAGTGAGGACATTCAACCAGTGGAACAGCTGGCCTTCAGAAGTTGTAGATGCTTCATCACTGGAGGTTTTTAAGAAAAGACTGGACAACCAGCTATCTGAAATGGTGCAGGGTCTCCTGCTTGAGCCGTGGGTTGATTAGAAGACCTCCAAGGTCCCTTCCAGATCTATCCTGATTGATTGATTGATTAGTGATGATAGATAGATAGATAGATGATATAGATAGATAGATAGATAGATAGATAGATAGATAGATAGATAGATGAGATAGATAGATAGATAGTAGATAGATAGATAGATAGATAGATAGATAGATAGATATAGATAGATTATAGAGATAATGGATAAGAGATATAGATAAGAGAACGAGAGAGGGAGAGAGAGAGGGAGGGAGGGAGAGAGACTGAGACTCTCAGGGGTGTCAAACTTGCGGCGTCAAGGCGTCACGTGATGTATCGGGACTTTTTCCCCCTTTGCTAAACCAGGTGGGGGCAGAGCCAGCACATGACACATCCAACCCACGGGTCATGAGTTTGACACCCCTGCTCTAATCCTAGGCTAGGAAACAGTTCCAAGTCTCCATAAGGCATTGGAACTAAGGTCTCTCCATAAGACCTAGAAACTAAAGCATTGACTATTACTGTATTTAATTCTTTCTTACCCCCCCCAAACTTCTCTCTCTCTCTCCTCCATATCCAAAAGAGTTCAAAGTTTGTTAATATTACACATGTGAACATTAAAGTAGCTACTGGACTTCAAGTAGTGCCCTTATTCTATCAAATAAAGTAAAAATATGGGGGGGGATAGCTATTTATATTTCATCTCCCTCAGTCATGACCTTGTTTGAGATTTCATGTGATACCCGTCTAATCTCACGAGAACTTTTTCAATAAGACCCCACACCTACCGCTTGAAAGACTGGGCAATCTGATGTATGAGCTCATGAAATGTCTTCTCGTCTCCATCTTCCTTCCTTTCCTTCTTTTAGCACTCACGTCATAATGCAGGAGTGTCTGGGACATTCAAGGATTGTCAGCTTTAGTTGTTAGCTACGCTTCTCTTTCTGCAGAAAATAGCACAAATGATTGTTGTGGGTTGCCCAGAGTTGCCTTTGGTGGAATGGTCAGGCATTCAAATTTCTTTAATAAAGAAATAAATTAAATGCAGACATTTGTTGCATCCTTAAAAAAATGGGTGCACCTTTTCTTTCTCTTTTTCATCACGTAGCCTTAATTGTAATTGCAGACTTCTTTGCCTGATGAAGAGTTCAGCACCAACCAAATTTAGGGAGTCTCTAAGTCCCTCTGTTACTTCTTCTGGGATCTCTGACTGCCCAAGTCTAACAAATGACAAATTGCTGTATTGACTTCTGTTTGCCATATTAATAATCTTGCTTTTTTTTTTTCTGACAAAAAAAATATGTGTATGTTATCTATTAATACTCACAGGCGTAGGAGTGTCTTTGCTTTCCTAACTCTGTTACCCTCCTGCCTTTGGACTGATTATCTCTTGGCATTTTATATTAACCCTTGGTAAGTCATATTATCTTCTTCTGCTTAACAGTAATCAAAGCCAGCTTCCCCACTACCTATTGTTCTCCAGATGTGCTCAACCATTGTTCCCAACTTTCTCTGGTAAGCACAGACAGATGTAAATCTGGAGAACACCAGGCTGGGGAAGACTGAACAAACCAGTTTCTTTTCTTGGTGGGTTTGATTAATTAATCTGAATTTTCCAAAGCGTGAATGCATTTTATTCCTTGAAATAAAAAGGTTGCAAATCAGATCTAAATGTCTACGGAGCTTCTCACTCATCCAAGTCATGATTGTTGCAAAGATGCTTTTTCAAGAGGCAACTGGAGTTTTTGGTTTTTCTTTGAAGACGTTTAGCTTCTTATCCAAGAAGCTTCTTCAGCTTCTTCAGGATAAGAAGTGAAACGTCCTCAAAGAAAAACCAGAAAGTCCAGTTGCCTCTTGAAAAAGCACCTTTGGGGCAAACCAGATCTAGTTTTTTGCTTTAAGAAAATCTGGATATAGTTACATGGAATCTTATGATTGATTGATCATCAATCAAACATTGCATGCTTACGTGCTTTGATTTAGTATGACTGTGATATAGAACACAAAATATTCTTCACCTAAACATCTACCTTGGTTTAAGCAAATATATTCTTGGCCTGCTAGAGACAAGAATCTGCTCTAGAACTGCTGTGGTTTTTGGGAATGAGCCAGTTTGCTTTTAAGCCCTTCTACCAGGCAGTTAAATATTGCAATAAATAAAATAGGCAAAAATATGTCTCTGCTTTGGAGTTTCATCCTGTGGAAATGTAGGGCTGGTTCTGAAGCAGACAATGGGAGCAAGGAGATAGATAAGCAAGTTTTCATTGCCCAATTAAATCCATGATTCCTGCAGCATACGAGGCAAGAATGTTTACACATGCACATTAAAATGTCGACACTGATGCATTTCTGTTATTAGAAAGATTGTGTGATTGATTGCATGCTACCAAGTCAGTGCTGACTGTTAGCAACCACATAGATAGATAGGATACATTAGAAATAGATAGCCACAGAACTGGAAATGAGACATAACTATGGAATGTTTTTCTCTCTTTTTTTTTTGCAGGAGTAAAAATGGATTGAAGAAGAGAAAGCTGACCAAGTATGCTCATTTTATAAATATCAATTATTTAATTAATGCATCAGTATTTTTCCCCCATGCATTTGGTTATAGAAATAGTTTCGTATTAGGATGGAAATGTTCAAGAAAAGGGGGAAAAAGAAGTTTCCCAGGGCTGAAAATCATAAGCATAAAGTTCAAAAACTTGAAGATTAAAAGGGAAGAAGAGGGTGGGGCTTTTTTGAAATTCCTAACAAAATCAGAAGATGAGCCACATCACGGAGGGCACCATATTATGACCTTATAATTGCCAAAATTTCTATAATCAACCCTGCAAGAATCCTTTCAATTTTGGAACCTGCACTGCCTTTGTTATGACCTAGGCTCCCTTAAAAGGCAGGAAGAAGAGTTTTAGTTCCGACAAAACCTCTTTTATTTACACGACTGTGAATTACTTTCATTCACAGCCAGCAAGGCTTGTCCAAACAGTTTTTCAAAAGAATATTTATCAACACACCTTATCTTGCTTGGCAAGTTAGAGCTTGAGTGGCACAGTAGACTAATGCTACTGTTAAAAGGTAGTATTTAGCTTTCAGCTGCCTGCAGTTACTGAGAGTTCAATTCTCACCAGGCTCAAGGTTGACTCAGCCTTCCATCCTTTCTAAGGTAGGTAAAATGAGGACCCGGTTTGTGGGGGCAATAAGCTGACTTTGTATAAATATACAAAAGTATGAAGGCTATTGCTTAACGCCTTGTAAGCCGCCCTGAGTCTCCGGAGAAGGGCGGCATATAAATCAAAATAAAATAAAATAAAATAAAATAAAATAAAATAAAATAAAATAAAATAAAATAATAAAATAAAATAAAATAAAATAAAATAAAATAAAATAAAATAAAATAAAATAAATAAATAAAAGCTGCCACGTAACTTGTAAGGCAAAACTTGGCAAAGAGTCTCTTAAAGTCATGAACAGAACTTTCCACTCTTGAACCGAACAAGCAAACGAATTGTTTCCTGCAAAAGCCCCCTCCCCGTTCGCTCCTCTTTTGTTTCCTATGGGAGGGGCCAATCATCTCCAAGGTGTGGCTTTACTCCCAAATCGACCCTGCTTTCTGAGTTGTTCTTGCCTTCTGGCTGCTCTGCGTATTAGCACACTGGGAATGGGCTCCAGCTATTCCTCTGCCTCGCTGCTGTCTATCTCCCTCTCTGCCTCCGACGCAGAGCCCTCGTCCGAGCTTTCCCCAGCCCCCAGGACTGGTCCATGTTCCTCCCCAACCTCCTCACTGTCTGACTCTGCTGCCAGCTCTGCTGGCTGCCAGCAAGCCACAACAGCGTTGTCCTTGCTCAAGGGCTGTCCAAAAACTGAAGGTATCGCTGAGAATGACATTCCATCATGAGAACCTGTAGGTTTCCATTTACTTTTCACAGAAGATCCTTCATGATAAAAATGTTCTTGACAAATGGAAAATTAAGCACTGGGGAAAAATCAATTATCTCTTGTTAACAATTCCCCAAAGGGTTTGCCTTTGGTTGACTCTCATAAAGCGTGAAAGAAATGAAGTGGGGGGACAGCCAGGAACATTCCTGTTATCAAACTGCTCCATCACTCAACACGGTTGCTAATTATTCGCTGGATCATTAATGAAAGCAGGTAAACAGCGGTAATTAATTGTTGATAAGAGACAGGTTCCTTGGGATTTTGTTGCTTTAAGGAAAAGAAACGCATACGTGTCCTGTAATCTTCACAAATTGGAGCACAGAAATTAGACAAGAAGAGTGGTTGACTTTCCTTCATTACAGGTGGTCCTTGACTTACAACTGTTTGTTTAATTATCATTTGAAGTTATAATGCCCCTCCCCCAAGACAACCCGATTTCAAAGTTATGATGTCTGTACACACACAGATACACACACACATCCTACAGTCACATGATCACAATTTAGGCATCTGACTAGGTGGCTCAGTGACTAAGACACTGAGCTTGTCGATCAGAAAGGTTGGCAGTTTGGCGGTTTAAATCCCTAGTACAGGTCTCCTACGTGAGCAGGGGGTTGGACTAGATGACCTCCAAAGTCCCTTCCAACTCTGTTACTGTTACATTTGGGCACATGGCAACCAGCATATCTTTATGGCCATTTGTAACTTCTGGTGGTCGCATGACTGCAGTTTTCAATGTTTTTGCCTGTTTCTGGCATCTGCTTTAGTTTCTGGCAAAAAAAAAAAAAAGGCCCGTAAAATGGATTCATTTAATGACCATATTGATCACCCAACAGCTATGACATTTGCTTAATGGCCACCACAAAAAAAATTAAAAAATTAAAAAATTGATCATATGATGCCTTCATTTACAATCATAACACTTTGCAACTGTAATTCCTGCCACCATTATGGTCGTACGTTGAGGACTACCTGTATTCAGGAAATAAGAGGTTAGAACAACAGGATGGAATCCTGACCTGTGAGGCGTTTTTTAGAGGACTGAGTCCTGTTGAAAATAATCAACAAAACATTAAAATTTCCTCATATTGGATGAGGTAATAAACCTAATCTGGACTGTAGTATTTCAGGTAGTAGGATTAACACGTGTGAATGGGCCTTTACCTTCTGCCAATTGTTGAGGGATAAAATAAAATATTGGGGACAAGGATTCCAGACTTCCTGTTCTATGATTTCACATATATATACCCTGTTTCCCCCAAAATAAGGCATCCCCTGATAATAAGCCCAATCGGGCTTTTGAGCGCATGGCAATAAGGCCAAGCGCTTATTTCATGGTTCAAAAAAAATATAAGACAGGGTCTTATTTTTGAGGAAACACGGGTATGAGAAACAGACTTTAGATGTCTTTAGAGGAAGGCAAGACTATGCAAAAGTCATATGTATCATTGCATGCAAAGACCAGATTTTCATCAGCTGTCATGACACTAATTGCCTCGTGGAGTGATTGCCCACTTTTGATATCACTGTGGCTGGTGACAGATGCCTGGGGGTGAAGAATTCAGTCAGATGAGGGGCCTTTCCCTTCTTGTGGTATGACATGTAATTCAGATATTATCAGTTCACCTGCTATTGTGGGAAGGAGGACTGGCTTTTATTTAAAAAGACCATTCTGGCCTCACTTCTGTAATATCTATCTGACATATCATATTTTATTGATGTTTCTCTCATCCGGTTCCAAGTTAGTTGGATACAGACATAAATTACTTCTTTAGCTTACTGGTTCAATTACCAGATGGTGACTTTTGCGAATGACATGACTTTCTTTATTTCTTTCTGTATGCATTTTTTAAAAAGCCCTGTCCAGCTGGATGATTTTGACAGCTACGTCAAGGATATGGCCAAAGATTCTGATTACAAATTCTCTCTGCAATTTGAGGTAATCCCAGTTCAGATTTTGGCTATTTAAATTTTATGGAAATAAATGAGTAAATGACTAGACAGTATATTTAGACTTTTCCACTTCAAAGCGGGGCGGGAGCGGAGGGATTATTACTTCTTAAATATCATTTTCTTTTCCATTTCTTTTTAAAACTTTCCTTGCATGACGAAGCGAGATCTCATACTTTCCTTTAAGCAGGGAGATACTCTAACATCCATCTCTTCTTTATTATGGGATAAAACTAGGGGTGAAATTCAACCAGTTCTGACAGGTTCTGGAGAACCAGTAGCGGGAATTTTGAGTAGTACAGAGAACCGGCAAATACCACCTCTGGCTGGCCCCAGAGTGGGGTGGGAATGGAGATTTTGCAATATCCTTCCCCCAGGAGTGGAGAGGGAATGGGGATTTTGCAGTATTCTTCCCCTGCCATGCCCACCAAGCCACACCACGCCCACCAAGCCACACCCACAGAACCGGTAGTAAAAAAAATTGGATTTCACCACTGGATAAAAGACCTAATACAGTGGTACTTCGGTACTCATCATTAATTGGTTCCAGGAGGCGTGATGAGTACCAAAAACAATGAGTACCAAACATGTTTTTCCCTTAAGGAATAAAATAGTAAGTCACAAGTTAGCTGAAACCAACAAGTTCTAGCTTGTGCATCAAGTACCAAACAAACAATGAGTACCGGGGTTAAATTTTAATGTCAAAATGCGTTGAATACCAAAATTCAATGAGTTTCAAAGCAGTTGAGTAGCAAGGGACTACCGTAGTAAGTTATCTTGGCCAACCCGACAAACACACACTCAAATATGTGTGACACACACACATGTATGTGTGTGATATTTGTACGTGTGTTTTTATCCCTGATGAGAGATGGTTTGGTGTAGTGGTTCAAGCACCTAGCTAGAAACTGGGAGATTGTGAGTTCTAGTTCCACCTTGGGCACGCAGCTAGCTGGGTGATTTTGGCCAAGTTCCTCTCTCTCAGCCCTAGGAAGAAAACACCAATGGCCAACCACTTCCAAAGATATTGTAGTGTACACTTTGCAAATGTAGGTAGGATGAATGAAGAAATTTCTTTCCCACATAATTCCACTAATGTTTGATGCAGATAAAAACATTGCTATCTTATTTATTCAGATAAGTAAGTATTCATTCGCAAAGATGATTTCTCTTAGTCTCAGAATTCCTCTTTTACTTAATTGTATTATTCTCAGCCCCTCCCCCCCCATGTTGTCCATTTTGTCCCATGGAGGAAAGAAAAGCAAACAAATACTAAGCCAACATAAAATAATGGTTCACTCTCACAGTTGCCTCCCTTGTTGGGGTTTAGCTCAGCTATTCTTTGAAAACAAATGGGTTGCCTTGATTATAATGTTGTTATTGAGTTAGCTTGCCTAATGATAAAGATACTGATACAAAAGATGTCTAAGCATAATGTGTGTGTTTGTCTGTCACACTCAGGAACTGAAACTGATTGGGCTGGAAACCCCACATTTTGCAGCGGATCTTCCCATGAATCGCAGCAAAAACCGCTACACAAATATCCTGCCTTGTAAGTTGTTATTTTAGGAGAGAGTTGTTGTATGTAACACCAGACTTTGTACTGGCATCCAGGTGACACGGAATGCTAACACCAAAGGATAGCATTGTTGAGAAACTACCAACAATATTTTTTTATGTATTCTGAGCATTTTGCTTTTTCTATTACTTGCCTTGCCCGCTTATTCTTTCCTTCTGAACTACAGAAGGGAATAAATTTACCACATAGTATTATGTTATTAATTCAACTAATACGACTACCTTTTATGAACATAAAAGAATAGCACTCCAGTGACTTATATTCCTGCCAGCTTTTTCTATATTTAAATCTAACTCATAGAAAAATTTCTTTCCTTCTTTCCTTCCTCCCTCCCTCGCTCCCTCCCCACTCCCTGGAATAAGGTTAGCTTAAGGTTACCAAATGGTCTTTGATATGTAATGTGTTCCTGATAATCCAGAAGTGAAGGGTTTTTCTGGGTGGTAGTCATGAAGTACCGTGTTTCCCTGAAACTAGGACATGTCCGGATAATAAACTTTCGAGCGCATGCGCTAAAATAAGCCGCCACCTGAAAATAAGCCCCCCCCCAAATACTTAGACGCATGTGCAGCTGCTGCACAAACAATTGGGTCAGAGCCGCTGCCACTGCCGCTGCCGCCCAAGATCAGCAGGCCACATTCGGTGAGCCGGATGCACCGCTGCCCGCTGCCACTCGGGAGAAGAAGAGAGGGGGGGGCGCTGCGAGAGAGCCCATTTCTGACGTTCTTCTCCTCCCAGGCCGCGGCAGCGCATTCAGCTTCCCGAATCTGGCTTGCTGATCTTGGCCAACGAGGGGCAGTGGCAGGTGGGGTGGTGGAGAAGTGAGACACATGGAGTGAGACGGGACTCCACTTGCCATCTCTTCTCCCTTCTCTTACGGCCGACCCCCTGTGGGCCAACTTCAGTCGTGGGCGGGGAGTGCTGGCCATGGCCGGGCTGGCCAAGCTGCATCTGTTGGAGCTGCCCTTGGTGCAGATGCCCGGCATCTCACTGCCGAGCGCCTGGGAAGAGTAAGCAGGGCCTGCAGGAGGAAGGGAGGGAGGGCAAGGGTCTCGTAAGGTTCCCCTCTCCAGGAAGAGTCCGGCCTGGTTGCCGTCCCATCTGGTGACTCCCGAGGTGGAGGGGCTTCCTGGGCTTGCTGGTGGGCACTCTGGTCAGTCAGTACTTGGGTGGAGGGACCACGGGGCAATCGGAATGGAGAGGAGCAGGGGGGAAGGGGAGGCCTCCAACAACTATCACCATAGAGCGGGAAGTGCACTCCCAGAGCAGCCGCTGCCCTAGCTGGGATTTGGAAGCCACAGAGGCGGAGTTTAGGGGAGAGAAAGAAAGACTTCTGCTACTTCTGCTTCTGGCTGCACGCAAGGAAAGCAGCAGAAGTTGTTCTTTCTCTCCCCCAAACGCCGCCTCTGCGGCTTCCAAACCCTGGCTGGAAGCCGCTGGAAGCAGAGAAGAGGCCCGTCGGACCAGCCACCTGCTGCCAAGTCTTCGGCCGGTTGGCCTAGAACATTGTGGGGCCCCTCCAGCCGGGCGCCCTTCTCTGCCTTGCGGGCAGCCGGGGCAGAGAGGCGGCGACAGGCAAAGGGAGCTGCAGCCCCGCATAGAGAGTCTGCCCACAATGATGTGGTGAGGCCTGGGAGGCATGTAAGCGAGGGGGGACAGGCGCCTTCGGGCTGCTCATGTTCCACACAACCCCTCAGGAGGGGAGGGGCTTGATGATGGCATGCAGAGGGAGCCTCTCTCTGCCAGACTTCCGGCTATGAGTGTGCAGGCCGCCCAGGGCCTCCTGCACCCTGAAAATAATAAGACCCCCCTGAAAATAAGGCCAAGCCCTTATTTCAGGGTTCAAAAAATATAAGACAGGGTCTTATTTTTGGGGAAACAGGGTACTTCCCCTCTCCTGTATACAAAACTATGAATGTATTGAAATATCAGCTACTGAAAGTTGATTGACTCTTGATTTTTCCCCAAATTCATTCAAATGCATGCATAAATTTTCAGAGACTCAATTCCAAAATTCATGATATGTATTTATGTTGAATTTGTCATTGGATATGTTGTCTTTTTGCAGATGACTTCAGCCGTGTTCAGTTGGTTTCAATGAATGAAGAAGAAGGCTCTGATTACATTAATGCCAACTACATCCCTGTAAGTAACCTTCCCTCAGCTCTAGTGTGGCAACACTGAAGCCCCAAGATGGCTTCGGCCAGACCAGCTTCAGGGTTGACAGACTGCTTAAGCCAGGAGTCTCCAACCTTGGCAACTTTAAGCTGGCTGAGGAATTCTGGGAGTTGAAGTCCACAAGTCTTAAAGTTGCCAAGGTTGGAGACCCCTGGCTTAAGCAACACACACAAAATATAAGGGCAGCAGTTACATAAGACTGAATCATTCTGTAGATATCCTTGGGAGGAAACGATAGTCTGATGTGGTTTAAAAGGCACCATTTATTTAAAAAGATATATCGATAAAATAATACTGTAGTAAGCTTTTTCTTTTGCAGGGTTACAACTCTCCACAAGAGTACATTGCAACTCAAGGACCACTCCCTGAAACAAGGAATGACTTTTGGAAGATGGTTCTCCAGCAGAAGTCACAAATCATTGTTATGCTTACTCAGTGCAATGAGAAGAGAAGGGTATGTAGACTGAGCAGGGCATTAGATATAATAATATCTGAGGTCACTTCAGTTGTGGGCTGTAACCGGTTTAACAACTGGTTCGGTGAGTGTGCGCTTTGCGCAAGCGCGTGTCTAATGCACTTGCACGCAGTATCAAAATACAGCAATTTGAAGCTCAGCTGCTTACCTTCTAAGGCAACCCTGGTAAGTAGAACAGTGGAGGTGTAGAAATCAGCTGTGCCGTGTGAATCAGCTAAGCCAGAAAGAAGGAAATATAGGACAGGATAGGGACGTGGGTGGGTGGGCGGGGCCAGCTGATCGTGGGAACTACCGGTTCCCCCAAACCGCTCTGAACCGGCTGACTCCCACCCCTGGGTCACTTCCTGTTCTATGATTCTAGTTTCTTTCATGACTTTTGGAACATGGAGTCTTGCTAAAATTCTACATCTCGCATTATGTGTGTGTGTGTCTCTTTAAGTCATTTTTTGACTCCTGGAAAATGCCTGCACAGGTTCCTGCAGTCTTCTCAACAAGATTTTGGAAGTGGTTTTAGGGCTGAGAGAGAGGGACTGGCCCAAGGTCACTCAGCAGGCTTTGTGCCTAAGGCTGTACTGGAACTCCCAGTCTCTCAGTTTCTAGCCAGGTGCCATTAACTACTACATTAAACTGGCTAACCTTCTTGCTGGCTCAGCTGTTCTTTCCTCCAACACTTTTATTGGAAGATTAAGTATATGTAGAAGATCAATTCATCCTTATTAGCTGTTCCTGCAACACAGCTAAAGGAATTGATTGATTGATTGATCTGGAGTGCCACATTCATCTCAGATACAGCTGTTCTTTGACTGTACAATCCCAAATATTTTTGGAAACAGGCTTTTAGCAAATTTACTGGGGTATTTAAGCACAATAACTAGGAAATAAAAGAATTGCAACTGGAAATAAAGCTGAAGCCAATGGATCTCCAGCAATTATGTTATATTGCTACACCTGGAGACAAGTAGTTAACATATGGGCAGCCATATTTTGCACCAGCTGTAGATTTTGGAAAGTCTTCAATGGCCGTTGCATGCAGAAAGCATTAAGTAAGTTCAACTGTGAGATGAAAAAGCCACAAATGACTGTTGCCAATACATCCCACTCCAGCAATAGCTACAATTAGCACACAAAGTGTGTCTGATTGAGGTGAATTTTAATTCCTTGGGAACTAATGAATTAGGTTTGTTTTCCCCTTTTTGGATGCTCACACAATAAAGCATCTTGCTAATCTTGACCAATTAATCATATGGGCTAACAAAACTAGAAGAGAAATCTTAAAATAGCCACTTCACTCAGTATAGGCCACAGCACACAGCAGGCTAATTCAGTTTAAGGCAAATGCCTTCAAAACTTCCATAAAGCAGATTAAAAATATTTCTTTATGTGTTTGTAACTTATTTGCCTTAGGCAGCTTTCAACAACAAAATAGAAAAAAGAACGATTTAAAAATGTAAACATAACAATCGCAGAGGAATGAAAACAATAAATGAAAATATTTACAGACCCCTCGCATCCTGGACATAAACTGTTTCAACTCCTACTCTCAAAACGACACTATAGAGCACTGCACATCAGAACAACTAGACACAAGAACAGTTTTTTCCTGAACACCATCACTCTGCTAAACAAATAATTCCCTCAATACTGTCAAACTATTTACTAGGTCTGCACTAAAAAGAAATCTTCTCATCGTTCCTATCACCCATTTCCTCCCACTTAATGACTTTGTGACTGTAACCTTGTTGCTGATATCCTTAAGATTTATATTGACTGTTTCCCTATGACTATCATTAAATGTTGTACCTTATGATTCTTGACGAATGTATCTTTTCTTTTATGTATACTGAGAGCGTATGCACCAAAGATAAATTCCTTGTGTGTTCAATCACACTTGGCCAATAAAGAATTCTATTCTATTCTCGCCTAAATCTTCTCCCTTTTAAGTGCAAATTTTAAATTTTAATGTATTTTAAAATATGGGTATTTTAAATTATGGGTATTAATTCAGCCAAATTTATTTAATTCATTTTATTCGATTTTAAATTTTGTATATGTATGTGTTTTATTTTATGGCTGTTCACTGCCCTGAGTCCTTCGGGAGTAGGGCGGTATAGAAATTCAATAAATAATTCAATAAATAAATAAATAATTCAATAAATAAATAAATAATTCAATAAATAAATAAATAAATAAATAAACAATTCAATAAATAAATAAATAAAATAAACAATGGAAGAACAATAATATGAAATTTAAAAGATGGGCAGAGAGGGAGCAGGAATACAGACCATTTCTCAAGCGGAATTTGCCCAGATACAATAAATAAGTATTGTAGTTTAAGCACAACCTGAAAGGTAATTTTTAAAAGGCAGTGACAGTGCTGGTTAAGGCAAATTGAGTGTACAAGTAGGAAAAACATTATTGCAGGCAGATTTGCTCACCTTTCTTTTTCTTCAAAAAAGAAGATTTTTCTAGTCCAAAACAGACACGCCGCTATCTAACCCAAAATAACCACCCCAATAAAGGGGTTGCATTAGGGTCTCCTGGATAAAAGGAACGTGTTTTATGTCTAGATTTGCACGTTCCTTCCTTGGATTCTTGCATCAACTTTGATCAGAGGTGGGTTCCACATAATTTTACAACCGGTTCGCTGTGCACCGAAAATGTGAGTGTGCGCGCATGCCCTTTGCTTGTGCACGCGGCTTGCACACATGCACATGGCTTAGAAAACGTGGCTAAATAGGACGGCATACTGCCGCCCACAGGTCGCCACTACCGGTTTGTCTAAACCGAACCGGCTGAATACCAAAGGAAACCCTCTTAAGAGATTGGTTTCCCTGTTTGTAACTTTGCTTTATTTTTCCTCCTTTCCAGGTGAAATGTGACCATTATTGGCCTTTTGCAGAAGAGCCCGTTCTTTATGGAGACATCACGGTGGAGATGCTTTCAGAAGAAGAGCAAGCTGACTGGGTGTTCAGGAACTTCAGAATCAGCTATGTAGGTCAATATAAATGGTGTCATGCAGCTTTTTAGTTGTTAGGAATTCTGCTCCATTAAGCAGAGAACTTGATTTTAAATCCCCTATACAGGTAGTCCTCGACTTACAACCATTTGTTTAGCGATTGCTCAAAGTTGCCATGGCACCGAAAAAAAGTGACTTATGATGGGTCCTCCACTTACGACCATTGCAGCATCCCCACAGTCACGTGATCAGAATTTGGGTGCTTGGCAACCAGCATGTATTTACAATAGTTTTAGTGCCCCAGGAGGTCACATGATCACCATTTGCGAGCTTCCGAAAAGCGAAGTCAATGGGGGAAGACAGATTTGATTAATGGTCACAGGATTCACTTAGCAACCGTGGCAAAAAGGCTGTAAAATGGGGTACAACTCGTTTAACAATTGAAATTCTGGTCCCAATGGTGGTCTTACATCAAGGACTACCTGTACATTCCATGACACGTGTGTGTGTGTGTAGATTTCCATTCAACTTTCAGACTTTCCTGCTCACCTTAAGTTTTCATTTACTTCAGACGGTCTTTTTTTAATCAGCGAATACCGCTGAATATGCAAAAAAGTATTTATATGCCTCTCATAGTCCTTTGAGTTCTTTCAATTTCCCACTGTGAAGTCTATTACTCTGGAATTCCATAATTGTCTCATGCTAGTAGGTCTGACTTTTTCCAAGATCAGCCAAGGTTGTCTGGATGTTATCATCTCTATTTCCCTCTGGGTTTAAATTACACTGCAGAAATAAATAAAACTTGGATGAGCCATGGTGGCGCAGTGGTTAGAGTGCAGTACTGCAGGCTACTTCTGCTGACTGCCAGCTACCTGCAATTTGGCAGATCGAATCTCACCTGGCTCAAGGTTGACTCAGCCTTCCATCCTTCCGAGGTGGGTAAAATGAGGATCCAGATTGTTGGGGGCAATAGGCTGAGTCTGTAAACCATTTACAGAGGGCTATAAAGCACTGTAAAGCGGTATATAAGTCTAAATGCTATTGCTATAGGGAGGGATATGTGCGCCATTCAGTTCTCAGATCAGATTCCTGGACTCCCAACAGTCTTATATTTAATATTTAGACATTGGTTTCTGGGTTTTGAGGCCCTAAACTAGAACAAAATCTAGACATAATCCACACGTGAGTATTACATAAACAATACTTTCCTGTATGTATATATATGGTTATGTGTTTGGGCAGATTTAGCTGCTTCTCCTTGCCTCAATTTAAAAGCAATAATCCAAAATCTCAATCAAGAGATCACGGACCCTGACATAGGACAGATACAGGTAGTCCTCAATTTAGTGTTGTGGTCCGCCAGCAGCCTGCGGAGCTGGCAGCAGAGTCAGACAGTGAGGAGGCTGGGGAGGAACATGGGCTTTTACAACCATTTGTTCAGCTGCCATTCAGAGTTATGATGGTGCTGAATGAAGGGTCTTACAAACTGTCCCTGAAATTATGGTCGCTGCTGTGCCCCCACAATCACATGAACAAAATTTGCCTTTCGGAAAGAGAAGCAGCCCATCCAGCACACAGCCTTCCTATAAAGAGACCGCTTATCCCGAAAGCGAGCACCATTTTGGGACGATCTGCAATTCATCAGCTGCTTCTCCTTGGGAAAGGTAATCTTTGGGAAAGGTAAGTGGAGCAAGGCATGACCAGAGGAGGTGGGTGGAGGAGGCCCAATGTGGGCCTCAATGGGTGGGGACAGGAAGCTGTGCAAGGGGTGTCTCACCAGGTTGGAGTGGCCCAGGGCAAGTCCTTTCTGAACTGGGGAGATACTGCAATATGGGCCTGTGGCCTCCCAGCAGCTTCCCTACCCTGAGGCACCTTGTGTTCTCCTTAACAACTGTAATGGAGTTAGCTGGGATTATGGTTGTTAAGCAAGGCATTCAAATGGGCACCTCGATGAACAATTGCCACAGTATATTACTATAATTCTGGACTCAATTGTTGTAAATTGAGGCTACCTGTAGTATCAGAATCAGAATAGAGCTGGAAGGGACCTTGGAGGTCCTCTAATCCAACCCCCTGCACAAGCAGGAGACTCTAAACCATTTCAGAGAAGTAACTGTCCAGTCTTTTCTTAAAAACCTCCAGTGATAGAGCACCCATGATTTTCGAAGGCAAGCCGTTCCACTGGTTAATTGTCCTCACTGTTAGGAAATTTCCCCTTAATTCCAGGTTGCTTCTCTCCTTGATTAGTTCCCATCCATTGTTTCTTGTCCTGCCCTCAGGTGCTTTGATAAATAAGTTGACCCCTCTCCTCTCAAATACCGGAATGCTGATATCATGTCCCCCCAGTCCTTCTTTTCTCTAGACTAGCAAACCCAAA